GTAGCGATGCCCTTTGTTCCTAGTAGCGTCCTTGCTCCTAGTAGCGACGCCCTTTGTTCCTAGTAGCGTCTTTGCTCCTAGTAGCGATGCCCTTTGTTCCTAGTGGCCCAGTAGCGTCCTTGTTCCTAGTACCGATGCCCTTTGTTCCTAGTAGCGTCCTTGCTCCTAGTAGCGGTGCCCTTTGTTCCTAGTAGCGTCCTTGCTCCTAGTAGCGATGCCCTTTGTTCCTAGTAGCGTCCTTGCTCCTAGCAGTAATATGGCCCGGCACCACATTTGGTAAATCTACGAAGCTCTCAGAGACCACATCCGGTCGCGCTGTGTGGCTCGAAAAGGCGTTTATCTCAGATCCAGTCATTTGACAGACACCGCGGAGCGCAAACGGAGCAATGCGCAGCAATCGTGGTAGCCTCCTGGCCCTTGCGTGCTCCCTGCCTGTTTTGTTTCAAATTGTGGCTGAGCCTGGATTACTGGGATGATCATCTCAGGCCTTTATTCGATGTGTGTTCTTTTTTGTTGTCTCTTCTTTTCATGCAGGGTAATGGCCGGGGCTTGACCACTTGACCACAGTCATGCATCTTGCTTCTGGCCAGCTAAATCATTGGTCTGGGGTCTGTGGGGTCTGGGGAATGAGGAAAATAGGACGAAGTCAACGTAGAGGAACTTCAAACCTACCTTGCCCTTTTTGGATTTCTGTCACGTCAAAGTCAAAGAGTCATTGTATTTGCACCATTCTCTTTTTTTGATCCTTAGTAAACTATGTAGTAGCTGGCTCAGCTGCGTTTTCCATGTTTCTGGCTTCACTTCCAGGTTCACTTTGCTGGCAGGCGAACACAGAACTGACGGGTTTCGGTTTGGATGCGAAGGGTACCTTGAATGTTTTGAGCATGAAAGATCTGAAAGATCACTTCATCAGATCCTTGAAACAAGTTTTACATTCTCTAAGAAGTTACATTCTTTTACATGTACCAGCTAACAAGTAGCAAAAAGGAGGAATAGCTACTAGTATACTGGATGCAGGATAGCTCACGCCTCTTCAAGGAAGCTCTCCTACTATTCATTTGGTTCCTAGATTTTTGGGGAAGCTTGAGTGAAGAAGGCAAGATGGAGAAACATCAGCGACATCACTCAGGCATACTTAGGTCAATACCAGGTTGCTTAGTTGGTTTGACGTTTGGTACCTTTGGTGGCCCCCTCTTGACACCACTGAGAGGAGCGGCCTTCATCGCTCCTCAAAGCCCCAGCAGGAGGGTCACCGTTCAGTGTTTGATTCTGTCGAGTGACGGTGCGAATATTAAAGAGAATATCAAGAAAGAACATCCATCTTCAGGAGTTCATCTTTGGGGCCTGGATGTGTTCCTTTTTGAATTTTGAGGTAGCACACACAGGATGTCCCTTCACGACCCGAAAGACAGCGGAAGATCTCTTGTTGCTCAAACCAAGTCACGTACATGTGATTGGTGATCACACCCTATGCAGTGTGCTTCCCTAGCGAACGAATTCACAGGAGTCCGAAAGTGGGTGCGAAGTTCTTCCAGGAAGACCGATCTCAGGTCAAGCAAACTGAGAACAAGGCCTCGTCAAACTCGCCGATGAGGGGGAGGCCATCGCTTCTAGGATTCTAGGTTGGAGGCCAATGCTATTAGGTTGGAGGCCATCGCTAGTAGGTTGGAGGCCATCGCTATTAGGCGAGGCCAACGCACGAAAGGTCATGCTTGCTAGGCCGGCCGGTCTACCACTCGGCAAAAGGCTGAGACCAGCCAATGGCACAACAGAAACTGAGGAAGAACACGAGGTTATTTCATTTCAATCATCAGAGAGCTACGACTAACATTCTTGGGTGTTTGACTTTCCTGCCCAATTGCTACTTACCAAGAGTACTATTTTCTTGACTACCCCGAAAGCTGAAAGATGCTGAACGGCCTTTAAGCCTTTAGTCACTTTTGTATACTTTAGTCACTGTCCATCTCTCTCAGCTTGGAGGCCATTGCTAGTAGGTTGGAGGCCATCGCTAGTTTCAACACTGCAAGATGAAGCTTGGTGGAGTCTGGGATGCGATCGATGTCGCGAGCTGAGGGGTGGAAGGATGTGGAAGGATGCTAGCCGAGATGGCATTTCATATCGAAGAGAAACAGAGCCAACACGCTCTTTGCAACAAAGCACTCAAACCTTTAAGCACCATTTAGCAAATTTTGAAAAAACAAAGGTTTTGCAGTCTTGCAACGAAACAGATTCAGCGGTGCTCATGCCATGATGGGGCGCTCTTAGGCAGTGGATGCATACACAAAGAAAGGCAGTGGCAGCATACAGGGTCCATTAGCCGGTGTGCCACAGCTGCAAATCTGCAGATGTGGAAACGAGTCGTCACTCCAGTCGGAAGTCTTCATTTCTCGTGGTGTCCTGTGGCCGCTGATCTACCCCATGCTAAATATTATAACACCGTCTTGGCCCTTTTTCATTTGCAAGAATGTTTCGTGGAAGAAATGAACCCAAGTTCAGCAAAGTAGGAAAAACCTGTGTGTTCCTAATCTTAGTTCACATGGCTTTAATGTACACCATATACAAAGGGTTCAAACCGAGAACGAACAGTAGCTACTAGCTTACTGCACTGATACATCGAGACATGATATCGACTCTACCGACGTTCTTGGTTGGCGACGTGTTGCAAGCCGATACCGATAGGGACCAAAAATTGGGACGAATCGGGAGGTGATGATTTCAAAAGCCCGCGGGGGGAGGGGGCTACTAGCTACTAGTCTAGTTACTAGTAAGCTTCTAGCAACTGGACGCAGGATCGCTCATGCGTCTTCAAGAAAGCTCTCCCCGCCTGAGGGCGGGGGGTGAAGAAGCGCTCGCACTATTGATGTGGTTCCTTGAATTTTGGGGAAACTTAACTTAACGTTTTAACCCGGGCCTTGGTACAAGAAATTGATCGCGCCAAATTTGAAAAGAAGAGAAGGATCGTGTGCAAATGAAGAGGACCAATAGCTATATTGCCCAGAAGGTCAGAAATGGTCAGAAATACCGAGGTACCTTGCAGCTTCAAGAAAGAATAGGAATTGAGGTTAATTGAGTATGCCACTTTCTGTTTCTGGTTGGCTCATATCTTTGCACTTTGGCCCCGTGACAACCATCCTGAGAAGATATTCTTTTGAAGCCTTATTATTGTGATCTAATTTGGAGTGTTTTTCATCCAATTGAAACGCTTTGGGAGGTGAACTACCAGAAAACTGCACACCCGGAAAGAAGGAAGCTGACAGAAGCTGCCCAAACCTCCCTACGCTTTCGTAGGTGTGAGCGGCGTGAGCTGAGCTGAGGTGCCTTGGCTCACCGTGATCTACTTTGTGATCTTCTTCTGGCCGGATTCCGGCGAAAGAAAAGGACTCGGACTTGGTGGACTGAAAGATGAACTCTTTGTTTTCCCTTTCTTCTTTTAAGGCTCGGGGGGAATAGGCCGCTAGAGGTAGGTAGCTATAGGGAGAGGTAGCCAGTAGCTACAAGTAAGCTACTAGTAGCTGGAAGCAGGATAGCTCACGCTTCTTCAAGGAAGCTCCTTTAGGGCGGCGGGGGAAGCTTCCTTGAAGAAGCCTTCGCGCTAATGATTTGGTTCCTAGATTTTTAGGGAAACTTAACTTTGTTGGCCTGTTGCAATCAACTTCCTACTTTCTTCTTGCGAAATTCG